AAATAATTTTCTCCCTTTTCTTTTAATCTCGCCCTAGCCAGATCTCCAAAATGGTTTCTCCTTCTCATTTGGTTGATTTTTATTTATGCACATTTTATCTGAATTTTGGTTATTAATTCTACATTTTCCATCAATCCATCTTTCTTTTGATGGTAGATTAACATATCGATTAATTACATATTTAATATTATATTAAAAGTCAGGTAAAAATATAACAAAAAAAAGAAGAAGATAATTGATGCTAATGGAAACGAAGATTCAACTATCATACAAATTGATAAAAAAAATATCAAGTCCAAAGCAAATAAACGAGCAAATAAAAACTAAGAACTTATTTAATACCATTTGTAAGAACTCCTATAAGACCAAGACTTTCCTTTGCTTTTCAATGGTTTTGTAGGGGATTAAAAAAAAAAAAACAAATCCATTGGTTTGTAGGAATAAAATAATGAATCTGTTTCCTTACTCTTTTTTTTCCCTTTTGTTCCTAGAGTAGTGTAAATCAGATGTAGAATTAGAATTCAGCTAGCACGCACGTCGCCCCTTCGGGCACAAAAACTGTTGACCATTCATTTCATTCTACCCACATCCATCCATCATCTCTCACAATCGATATCCGCTAAGAATTTGCTTCCTACAGTCCCACTTATCAATTAAATCAAATATATACAATTTTTTTTTAAAAAAAATTGGTGTCAGCAACATTTGTAAATTTCAAAAGCTGTCTAATAAATTTTTTTCTTCAGGTTAAATGAATTTTTTGTTCTAATTAAATTAAAGAAATTAAAACTTCACATTTAATAGACTTTAGCTAACATTCTATTGCATTTATCGTCTATTCTTGATGCCCCATATTTCCTTCCTATCTCAATAGCAGCGCAATAGCCATGAGGTTTTTGAAAACTATTTTTAAGAAAAAAAAAACAATGAATAAGCTATGAAAAAAATAGAGAAAGTTTTCACATGATTTTGTTTTCCTCTGTGACAACACCTATACCAATTCTATTTTTGTTCTAGAACCCAACCAAGTCATACAAGAGGTTAAATGAGTTAGTGTGTGACCGTTAATCATTGAGAATTCAGTGACTTTTTTAACAGCAAATGATCTAAAGTACAAGGTTCTGTCTTATTCTCTTTCTCCCTTTTCTTTTTTCTTTTCTTTCTTTGACGAAAATAAAAGTTTTTCCTTACAACTCCATCATGGGCTCTTCGACATGAACCATAAATAATCCATTTTTTGAGTTAAAAATTTGCTGGCCATTTTTTTAAAGCTTATGAACTCATTTTCATGATTCACTCTTGCATTTCATCATCGTTAGCTAGCGTATTTAGGATTGTGGGAAGTTATACATCGTCCAAGTCCAATATTGTAGCCATTCCTCTATGGAAATTCATTATCACCTTTGTGTTTTGAGTTTCATGTCCCATCTGAAATGAATTCTTATTCTCTCTTTTCACGAAGAAGCATATGCTTCTGGAAATCTGTGTGTTTTACTACATGACCACCTTCTGATTGATTTATTATCTCAGAATTCATTCAATCTTCAGGAACGAGGAACCAGCTAATTAATTAAAGAATTTCCTCTTGCAGATTTTTTTTCGACTCATTTGGACACTTGCGAAAAATGAACTCCCAACAGATTCTTGGTGAAAGATCTCAACTTAAGCTTATTTTCATGCCTGGCATTGCTAATCTAGATGGCGAAAACTCGACTACACTAATTATTGATTCCATATTGGAGGTGAACGATGAACATCTTAATTATTTGTGCGGCCAAATGGTAGTCTTAGATAAACATATTTGCTGGCCATTTTTACATTGCTTACTCGATTTGGATTGTCACGTTTTAAGCTAGCTACAAGAGAAAGTGATAGTACTTTTTTTTTGGTTCTTTTTTGGCTATTGATAATGAGTACAGGTGCCCAAGCTTGTAACATCTAGGGCTGCGGTGGCCATATGAGACAACATCCAAAGGCCTAAGAACTGCTTTCAGAGCAATTTCCATATTTTACTTCTTCTTTCTTTTTCATCTTTCCTTTTCAAAAACTATTAGTTGCCATTGCCAACCGTGCAATGTCTGATCGAATTTATTTACTGTAACAAAACATGATCATTGTTTAAAGCCATCAAATGCCGAAGGATCTTATATTATCCCCGGCATCATAGTATCCTGTAACTAAATCTACCAGTAAAAAGGCCCCATATTGTTCTTGTTAATACAATTAATTACCTTGAGAATTGAGAATTTGATGGAGAATATATAGCAAACATGCAAAATTGTTTGTGCAAAAGGAATATGAATGTATGTATATGTCTGTACAAAACTTGCACGGGCACTACTGGGCTTCAATTCAAATCGGCAAGACAATTTAATGAATCTATAAATAGAACTTGCAAGTTTTGTACTATTAATTACATTTTTTTTAATTTTGTACTATTAATTACATTTTTTTTAATGAATCTATATTATACAAGTTTAGCATATTACTCATATAATTCCATTTATATTGTATAAATAGTCATTTTTTCCTAAAATATTCTATTCATTTTTATATTCTGTCCATTAAAATTCGATTTAGACCAAAGTAATATTCATATAAACATGGGGTTGTAAAAGTTCTGCTAAATTACTTTTCTTATTTTTTAATAATTAGAGTAAATAATAAGTTCTATTAGTTTGGTTTTAATTTTTTTTTAGCTGTGAAAGAATTAAATATTTAATTGCACTTATTTCCTAATATATCTCCTTCACTCATATATTGACTTGCCACCGTTAATTAGATTAAACCTAATTGAATTATGGGATGAGATTCGATTGAAACTAATTATTAAGTTGTTATTAATTGGTCATTTTTAATGTTTGTCTTACAATCAGTATATGAAATTTTATAAAATAGCATTTTAATTTCTTTTATAACATTTTTGTTCAAAAAAAATTAAAGTTATAGAACATAGAAAAGTGCCAATGCAAATGCAAAGGAAAGAAACTAGCATAAAAGAGAAAATAGATTTATAGCCAAGAGTAGCTGCAAGAAAATTTGTAAACTTTTAGTTTTTTGATTAAGCTTCAAATTTTTTACCAGTTCATTAAGTTTTATGTTCGAAGGCTCCTATCGGTAATAAGAATTTTCTTTAGTTTACTAACTTATCACTTAACAATTTTGGAAGAATTCACTATAATAATTATGAAGAATTTGCTCCTTCTTGGGTATTTTACACCCACAAAAGCAGTGACATCCTCAAATTATGTCGTGCAGTTCCCGTGCATGGAAGCTTTTTAGTTATCAAGATTTGGCATCCAGAAAACGACTTACACATTTTTAAAATCTAATATTAAGAAAAAAAACTAGTGCTTGGGAGAATACTGAAAATGAGACAAGTATCTAAAAGTACAAAAAAAGAAAAAAGAAAAAAAGAAAATTGACCAACATAATTAAAAATATTCAATGGCAACTAAAAGAATATAAAAATGTGTTGATCAGTTACTATCATCATGATAATTATCAGTTACAATTTATAGGCCACATATCATGCTCAATTATATGCCTCATGTTATAATTATTGCATACTTATTATCTTTAATCATCTTTGCATATTCATTATCATCAATTGCAGGACTAAACATAATAATAATTTGCTTAACAACAATTCTGTTTTTCTTTTGGTTTTTTCTTCACTGAAATTCTGAATATGGTCAACACCATATTTCCTGTACAATTTTGTGGCTCTTGCGAATCTCAATACTTATCAAGAGTAGTCTAATAATATGCAGATACGTGGTGGTCAGTATGTTTTGAAGTCTACAAAAATTTGACAAAACTAGCAATAATTGAACAAATGTGTGAAGAAAACGACGATATTAATTTGGATTAATATTATATACAATGTTAGTGTAAAGATTTGTTATACTAACAGGTGTATATATATGACACATAGATAAAAAGTAAATTTAAATATTAAATGGTGATGGTGTGGCGTTCATTTAAACTTTTTTGTATTTAAAAAAAAGAGTTCTGTCTAATAAGTGTCGATTGGACACTCGTTAACGAATGTACATCAGATTTTAGATTTTTGAAAAGGTAAGATTAATTAAAAAGAGTGTATAAATCTAAGAATATTTACTAATTGTTAATATGTATATATACATGATAGATTAGATAAAACATAGATGCGTTAACTAAGATTTTTTTAATAATAATAGATGAAGTATAAAGCAAAAGATGAAAATGAACTCACGGACCAAAATCAAATAAACATCAATAAATAAACATATTACTATCACTCATCACACTTTCATCTACTTTTTCTATATCATTTTTTGCTCTTTTATCTTTCTTTTCGATAAATATACTTGCCAACACGTGGGATGCACGAAACAAATTACTATGGTAAACACCTTCATTTGTAATGAATGAACAATCTCGCAACAAGGCTATATACACACATTGAGGTGACTAATCTGTTTTCAAGAATAATTTTGGAAAGAAAACACTTTGATACATGTGAGGTGAAAAAATAATTAAATTATATGTTAAAAAAATAAAAATTTTGAAGAAAAATATAACGATTTGATATATGTGAAGTGAAAAAATAATTAAATTATATGTTAAAAAAACATAAAAATTTAACAATCCAAGGCCAAAAGGCCTTGTTAAATTAGCTCAAAAAAACTGAGAGACTGTAAATTGAACCCAAATGGAAATACTGAGAAACTGTAACTCATTTCAATTACATACCGACCAGTAGAATTTGTTAAATTGGTAATCCTCCTTCCTCATTCAGGATTTGGGGCCAGTACGTACGATTGGGAGTTTGATACAATTATACAGTTTGTTGTACATTTTACATGATTTAATATATACTTACATTTCTTTATTTTCTACTTCAATTTTATTCTTGTACATCAACTCAATAAATTAATATAATTATGATTATAAACGTACCACATTTTCTAAAAAATTATATAATAACTAGTATAACAATTACACAGCAAGCCCAATTGCACCGACTCCAAGCCCCTTATCAATATATAGCTTCAATCACAAAACCTCATCAAACATGCTTAGCAAACTTAATATAAGATCTAAACTTCAATTAAAAAGCTACAACTAGTTCCATGCCAAAAAAAAAAAAAAAAAATTTAAGTCTGCGCCGGAGAAATTAACAAGAAATACTAGTACTAGTCCTAATCATCAAAATCAACCAAAAAGAAAAGGTAGTCCTCCTGCAGAGCCCAAGCAACAACTGCCAAATATTCAAAGTACAACTATCCATTTTAAAGACAACTGCATTAGACCCTAGACCCTGTAACACCTGCGGTACCTTTGGGCTCAGTTCCAGGTGCACCAAGACCATAGTCAGGGTCCCTGTACCCTGGACCATATCTGCTGCTGAACATCCCAGCATGGATCAGCAGCACATAGAGCAATTGAGTCACTCCTAGCGCTATTATGAACCCCTCAAGAACCTTTAACCTCCATCCCCTCCGGCCTCCAACATTTATCTCCTTGCATGCCAATCTGCATTATTTCACAACCCCACGGTGCAAAAAAGATGAAGTTATACCCTGGAGTTCATAAGATTGGAGAAAATTGAGTATGTTATATTGTATATTATACCCGAAAGCTAGAATAGTTACGGCCCATGCGACTAAGGAAGATGCTCCAGCAGCCGCTAGACTGTCGCTTCTCCAAGCCCTTAAATGGTTTCCACCTGCTAACTTCGAAGCAATCCCCAGAACGGAAGCTAGTATGGCGAATGTCAGGAAGAACGGGGTTGCTCCGTTTCCTCCAAAGCCTGAAACATACGTGACAAAGGATGTCGTGGTTTTAGATGATTAACCATGCAGCCCACCTATCATTTAAAGTTTTTAAGCATAATTTTGCATTTCAACCATCTGGAGATATCTATTTTGAGCACCTAAAAGTGCATGTAACTTAAAAAACCAAAAAAAAAAAAGGCATGAAAATGTCCCTAATGAAATACTGCTTTCTTGCAGTGCTTAAAACAAAGCTTGAGAAACAGTCCCAAACGGAATAATGCTTTCTTCAGTAATTTCGGTTATTTCAACTGTCTCCATATAGTAGGAAAACTGAAAATTGTTTTGGATCCAGAACTCATATTTGTGAAAAAGAAAAAAGTACAAAACTAAGCTGAAAGAACGAACACCTTGCTTACAATAATGTTTTTTGTTGTGTACATGCATGAATAGGAGGAGGAGGATGGGAAAGAATGGAATAGAGAGCTTACTGGGATGGTTAGTCTGGCCATTGATGTAATGATTGAGGCACCAACTCGCAAAGCCTAAAACGATGAAATACATAATCAGGTTCAGAAACAGTAATGGAGCAGCCAAGCTTCTTCCAACCGTTCTAGCCATATCTTCTTCTTGGTTCTTTGTTGATCTTCACTTCAGCAATGCAAAACCAACGGGCAACAGCACACTAATTTGTCAAGAACCAGTTAAAAAAAAAAACAGATTGATGGTTCTTTGTTTGGTTATCTTGAAAGTGTAAAGCTTTGGGAAAACAAATGTGGAAAACGGTGAGGGCTATATAGAAAGGAAATGGACCAGTTTGGGATCGAGTACGTGTCATGCTTGTTGGTTTCGAGTGCGTACAGGTGTAGAGTGCAGGGACACTTGTCAAATTCTGTCCTAGGATTGAGACCATCAAGATGCAAGATTGCAATTTTCATCTTCTTTTTCTGATGTTGAAATCTCCAATCCTTTGAACCAACGGTGCATAAAACTAGATCATATAATAGTAATAGAAGAACTGCACTACCATGACACTTTAAAATCTCGCAATTCATATAATGGTAATGTAAACTCAAGCTAATGAATCAATTAGGAAACCTATAGAAAAAAGACTCTTTTTTTTTATTAATTCAATTTTTCATTGAACAAATCTAAACCATATCTGGATCCATTTGGTTCTTTCCTAAGTTGAACTAGTCTAAGGTTCATTTGAGTCTAACGTCAAACAGATCCAACTAAAAACGTAGAGCCATATGGGCCATATTACCACTATGGTTAATTAAAAAAGATTAAAGGAGCAGTTGCATGGCTAGTGATGATGTCTTGAAACTAAGTGATATACATCAACTTTGATGTCAAAAGTGAACAGAATGAGCACTTTGGCATTTGATTGAGACTTGTATTTTATCCACTAAGCATTCGTCACCTAAAGGGTCCTTTCTCCCCCTTTGCCTTCAATAATCATCTTCATCCTAAAAGAAAGGTTTTTTTTTTCTTTTAATAAACAAAAAGAAAAATTTTTAAAAGGGAAAATCCTTCAAAATGTTACTCACATTTCATGAAATAAAGTTTTTTGTTCTTCACTTTTAAAATGATAACTTTACATACCGAACAAATTTAAGTTAGCAAAATATGATCATAACCTAAATTTTAAACTACTTTTTTATATGTAATCATTTTTTTATGTACAAAAAGGTCATATTCAACTTTTTTTTAATAGTAAAAACGAATACAGATTAGATTACATTTCACTTTTTTCGGAGAAAAAATGAATATGTTCGGCTCAAGTTTTAATTTTTCAAGAATAAAAATTAATATGAATCGAATCATTTATTTAACTACAATAGAGATCTAACCCTTATACCTCCAAGAAGTGTCTATATGAGAGATTTTCAAGATGAAAAATGGTTGAAAACATAAGTTGTGAATCAATTTTACCACTTTAATTTTGTAAAAGATTGTAAAATTATATATTTTAAAAGGGGCGGATAACAAAATTTATTTGACTAAATATAACTGACGTTTTAAAGAACTTTTTCTTTCTAAAACATTCCGGCGATAAGTTTGAAAACTGGGCCAATGGATGATGCAAAACCGCGGGCTAGAGAGCCGTGGATTGTTCTGGAGAGGGTGAAAGACGGAACATTGACAAGTCGTCTCGACTGTCCGCTAAAGTGTTATACAACGTATTGGATTGGTCCACATAATGATGCCTAAGGAGACCGAACTTTATTAACTCATCATTATGCCGATAATCTTTGCAGATGTCATGTCCTAAAAATATATAAAATATATATTAATCTTTCCTCCGTTCATAATATATACACAATCAGTATTGATGAGTGATAACTATAAAAAATTTTAATTTAAAATTTAATTATTTCACATGTATCATAAATCTCACTGTGATAGTGTATACATTATTAATATATATAAAATTTACTCATAAAATATAACGAAAATACGTGGCCCGAGTAGCTAAAATACATTTTCATCAACTCAAATGTGTAATTGGTTAAAATCAATGGCATTTTCGTCAACTCAAATATTTTAACAGCCAACTTGATAACTTAGGGATTAAATTAACCCCGAAACTTACTCCCCCCTAATCATCCTATTTATTTCTGTGTAAGTTCCCTTTCTTCTTTTTTTTTTTCCCTCATTCTTTCAGGGTTTTCTTGTGTGTTATTATTTCATTTGGTTTGTTCATTATTTGTAAAGAATTATTTATTTGTACAATGAACAAATTTTTTAATAATTTTTTTATTTTCGCAATTTTCATTTAATGTTACGTGCATATCAAAATATAGAACGTGGTATAATATTATTTTAAGAAAATACTATTCAAATAATCCTCTATCCAAAGTCCAAACACACTCAAAATTTTTTTTGCCTTGCTTTCTTTCTTTCTTGCATCAAGATGTAAACGATAGCATAGAGGTCAATCCACCTTATTGATTCAGAAAGCTGCCTTACTTACATGTAAACTTGGCACCAGGATATACCCTGCACTTAAATTAAACACTAAGCAAGAAAAATTTATTATCCATCATGTTGGACTAATTAATGAGTTTAAGGATAAGAAAACAGCCAGTAACATCTTCTTCATTACATATTCCCCTGAAGTCTTTTCTCATCATTCAAGGGCTTGTAAGCAAGAACACTTCAGAAAGAGTTCCTCAACTGCATCAAACATAAGGTCTTGAAAAATTGTAATAAAAAAAAACCCAAATATTGATAAAATTGAATATTCTTGGCTACTAGTGTTGTTGATGCATCTCTGCAGCTGCATTTGGGTTGGGGGAAACCAGGCTTTGGACATAAATTCTAAGAACAGTATGAATACCAGACCGTGGGAGGAACCTGAAGGAGTCATCTTTTGGATCATAGAGTCTGAGTTCATCTTTAAGCTCCACCAAAAATCTTTCACTGCCTGGAATGCACAGTGCCCTAAACACAAGACTTGTCTTGTCAACCGGGACACTAAGCACCTTGGTCCAAGATTCTCCAACCCCATATTCCTTCATAACCCACAGCTCTACAAAATGATCCCTATAATTCTTACAAACGAAACAAAGACTCCCTCCAAAAGTTCCCAAATCAGATCGAAAACCATTGCGGCCTGATATCCCTGTCCCTCCATTTGTTTTTAGTGCCAAGTCAAGAGAACCGAACGTCTCTGTTGCTAAATCAAGAAAAACAACGTTGAAATCCCAGCCTGCATTATGCAATTCCCAGTGGAGCCTCCCATTGACGAGACAGCCGCAGTCCCCCACACTAGGGAAACCACCTTGAAACTCCCCAATGCTCTTCCAAGATCCAGTCTTTACGCTATAAACTAAAACTTCAGACCCTGAGGGACGATAGTCTTCATCTAAGGAGCAGACAACTTTCACCACTTTATAATCATCACTATCCTTATCATATCCGAAACCACATACTTGGTAGTGATCTCCCTCCTTAAGTAGGTCCACTGTTGGGCTACTAAAACTGGGCAATTTCTTGAATTTTCTAGTTGATGGATTCCACAAGAACACACCTGTTCTCATGCAATCAATGCAAAATAGCCCATCACAGCATCCCACAACGTTAAAGTACCTACTCAGTCGAAGAATAGGTGGATAATCAATTTCATCCTCAGCTGCATTTGCAGGCTGCCGTTCATGCAACAAAGAGGCAAGAGAGCAATCTTTGAGATAACAATCTGTGAGATCAATTCCCACAGTGAGCAGCTGTAGTTGTTCTCCATCTTCTGATGAGCTGAAAGCACAGAGGTGATCTTTGATGAATTGAGAGCTTGAGATTAGGGACAGCCACGATTTCGAAACGCATTTGAATTTCGAAAGGGATTTGACTGGTAGCCTTAGGAGGATCTCGGTGATTACTTCAAAGGGGAGGTCAGGCAATATTAAGGGTTGGTTTGAATCTTCGGATGGGTTGGGATTGGTGGCTCCATTTCCTTTGCTTTCCATCTGGAGGTTTGTGCTGCTGCGCAGGAAGGAAGAACTTATACATTACTCGTTGCATTCATCTACAGAAAGTAAATTCAGCTTATATTATTGTTTGTATCATCAGTATACACCGCGTTGAAAACTATAACTGGAATTCGTCAGAGTCCTGCACTTGAGCTTGCCTTGCTCTTTATGTTGAACACGTCAAACTAAAGACACAATCTTCATACAAAGGGGAGACTCTTTTATGTTGAACAATTCTACGACGTGTAACTTTGATTATGATAACGTCAATCTGACTTTCATAGTTAAAAAAAAACCATGACATAACTAAATCTTATGAAGCGTGATGGTTAGACGCAGGACCTGATTAAGCGTGGGCCTTGTTTGGAAAGTAATTTTTCTCCAAAAAATTTCTATGTTTTTCATAAACGCATTTTTTAATCATTCTTTTATCTCATGTATATCAAATCGTTACAGGTACATTTTTCTATGAAAATTTCAAAATATAATAATTCAAACGGCCTCATTGGTACAAAATATTAATTGATATTATTGAGTGTGTTTGGATTGCTGAATTATCCCAAATAATTATATTTCACTTATATCATCATAAACACATTTCTCAATTCACTATTTTATATTTTCAACTGCATTATTATTCAGTACGCAAAGACAAGTCATAAATACACAAAGAATTTTTTTTTTTTTTTTGCATTAAATGCTGATGAATATTATTCCATACGCATCATCCATCCATTTTCCACTAGCAAAATTAACGAGGCTTGTGGACGAGTTGGTACAAGACAGGTTCTCAAAAATATTTCCTCAAATCTTTTTGTACTAATAAATAACCCGCCTTACGTTGATCTGTTATCGAATCTATGAAATATTAGATAACTGATGGACATGAGGGAAAATAAGAACACTGAAGAGAGGATGCTGCAGGATTGAACTGGTTTTTTCAACTTTCAACATTCAAGAACTGAGAAAACAATTCAGTGCCACTCTGTTGACTCAAAAGTCTAAAACATACATGATACGCAGTGTATAGCCGTGGAAAAGGTAGGAAAAGTCTTGATGGCATCAGCTGCACGGAGCAATGGCGAGAGAGAAGAATCAAAAGGAAAAAGACCATACCGGAATAACTAGAAAAGTTGAGATAAACCAATACAGTAACGAGGATACTACTACCAAACAAGGAGTTCATTACGTAAACACAAAGTGTACAATACACTGTTGTAGGTGTTTTAAGTCTGATACATCATTAAGCAAATTAGGCAAAAGATAAGCAGGTGGGCATGCAAAAGTGACACAAACTTCATCAAAGGATCAACCTACCAAGAGCATGCTATGACAAAACATCAGCTGCCCAATTACATTCTCCATGCTTAAATTTCAGGCGACAGTTCAAGCCCTGATAGTCCATGATCAGATTCTTAGTCTTGTGTCCTGCTCGTTGAGGCCTGCACATATAATTCACAATTTCCTGAGAATCAGATTGATAGTCAAGGAGGAAATATTGACATTCTTTTTCTGTGATGAATGCTATGTATACAGGAAAGAGATTCCCAAAGCTGATTCAGCGATATGCATCAGGTCTAAGATTTACTACGCATGCAAGCATTCGGTAAGAAGTTGCTGGACGTGGAAATGCAAAAGCCAAGAAACTAATAAACTTCTAATAACTGTAGCTGAGTTAAGCATTTCCCTAGGAGCTAGAAACACCAATTCCGTTTTGCAAAGCCAAGAACTGGAAAAAAAAAGGAAGAAATTCAAAATTGAAAGACACAGAATTTATGAAACGTAAGTTGAAAGCGGTAACAGACCAACAAAGCTAAAGCATCAAATTAAGGATCAGGGAAAAATATTAGTGATTCTCTATGTGATTTAGATAAAGAAAATTAAAGTGCTTGCAACAATTTCTGGAAATTTATCATGCGTGCTAACAGACAACACAGCATAAAGTGTGTTTTCCCCTCTACGTTTGAAACTGATTTCTATGTGTCACTTTAGAGCTTTGCAGGCTATATCGTTTGTTTCTTGCCTCAACCTTGGTTGAATGGATACTGCAACTTATTTAAGGTCTCAAACTAGCACTTAAGGAATAGAGATGCAAGACTGCATTAGATCCAAGTAGAGAAAATTTGCAGATTTGAGGAATAGCTTTACATGAGCTTAACTTAAACATGAATCATAAAGAGAGACCTTGAGGTATTAACAGAAACAGTTCAAGAAAAAAAAAAAAAAGCAAGAGAAAGCAAGAAATATTGATAATGCAAACATGATTGCGGTAAACTTTCCGGACAATACTACCTCCAAATCATCTGTAATGTTACCGTTAAATCTATATTTGTATATCGGTTAGAAATCTAAACCAGTTTATGAGCAATCGAAATTTGAAATGACAAACATCAAAATCTTTAAGTTACTCAAATGCCGCACAACTTCCAAAATAATCTGCCACTTCAGAAGCTTAATGGCGCCCTACTATCAAGAAAATCAAAATCTTCAATTTTCTGATATGCAAGACTTTCATAATTTAAGTGGTAAGCAAGAATATTCACATTCATTTCTAAACTATTTCACTTATTGGGAATTGAAAACTGCAACAAAAATAAAAATGCTAGTGAAAATACTTAGGAATTCTCGGCAGTTTCACATTACACGTACAAGTTTTCTTTTTTCAAGTATAAGCTGAATTAGAAAAAAAAAACTGTAATTACTTACTTTAAGTGTCCTCAACTGTAGTCCACTCATCATAGTTGTTGCATCAACTGAACCGGGTGAAACTAGGCTTTCAACATAAATACTCGCAGACCTAGTGTAGACAGACCTCAGGAGACGCCTGGATTTGTTATTTTTGGGATTCAAGACTCTGACATCACTTTCAAGCACCACTAGAAGTTTACCATTCTCCAATTGGTACAATACTGAAAGAAAATACCTCTTGTCGTAGCTCAAGGCAGAAACCACCTTTGTCCAAGATTCAATAACTCCATATTCCTTCAAAACCCAGAGATCTACAAGACCATGCTCATAATTCCTGCAAAAGAAATAAAGGCTCCCACCAACAGTTTGTATGTCTGTTACAAAACTGTCACGATTCGATTTGATCGCATCTCCAGGTAAATCAAGAGATCCATATGTCTCTGTAGCTAAATCAAGAAAAACAACATATGGACAAAATGCTCTGTTCAATACCCAATGGACCTTCCCCTCCGCAAAAGTACCACAGTACCTGTTTCCGCTTCCGCTCATTGGATAACCATCAGGAAAATCCCCAATTCTCCTCCAAGTATCAGTTTTTGTACTATAAACTTTAACCTCAGAAGCAAAGGGCTCCCAATCTTCAGCACAGTAGCAGGTTACTGCCACTACTTTATAATCATCGTTAGTCTCGTCGTATCCAAAACCACATGAAGCATAGAATTTATGCTCACTCGTTTTTTCAAAACTAAAATCAGGCAATGTCTTTGATTTTCTGGTAGATGGGTTCCATAAGACGAAACCTTCTCTAGTAGTGCAAATGCAAATCAACCCATTACAACATCCCACTAAGAGAACTGACTGATCACGGCATTCCAATTGGGGACAAACTATTTCAACTGCATCACTAGGCTGTTCATACAACAAAGAAGCAAGAGAACAGTGTTTGAACCTGCCAGAATTATAGTCTATAAATAGCAAGTGTTCTCTGTCCTTTGATGTACTGAAACTGAGGTGACGCTTGATGAAATGAGGGCTTAACGTTAAGGAAAGCCATGATTTTGAAACGCACTTGAATCTCATGAGTGACTTCACAGGTAGCCTTGCCAGAATCTCAGTGATGACTTGAAAGGGAAGATCCGGCAGTATTAAGGGGTGGTCTGAAACTTGGACTGAAGAGGAAGGAATTTGTTGGCCTATGGCCATATTTTCATTGCCTTCCATCAGAGGAAGTTTGGCTCTGTAATTGGATGTTTCAGCTTCAAAGAAGAAAAGGGCAGTGGTTGGTTTTTGAGCTCAAGCTTCAGCCTGAAAACAAACACCTTCAGCAGCAACCCAAATGACAGAAATCGGAAGAGAAGGGGCAAAGATCTAGGGTTCACTGTACAGCTTTTGCCCAAGTACAAAAAATGTATGCAAATTTCACACAACAATCTTAAATTACATGATTTTGAATTTTGTGCCCCAGAAATAACTGTAGTGATGGATCTTCTATTCTTCTTCCATAGTAAAGTGAGCCAGCTAGCACTCCTGTGTAAGTGTCAAAATTTGTGTCAAATAGTTAGAATTTATTTGGATTGCATTTTTTTAAAACAAAAATTCTACATCTTTCATCAAATATTTTTTATTATTTTTCATGTCATATACATCAAATTGTTACGCACAATTCTTCACAAAACTCCAAATAGGCTCTTAGTCAATCTTCCTAAACTAGTTCACTCACTATATAAAGAAACAAATTGCAAACACTTGCCACATGAGACCTTTTTTAAAAGTCCATGCCAAGTTACTTCGCTGTTGCTACTGTTCTTGCCAGTACGGTACTTCAGCAGAATAGGACGATAGTGAAACCAGCATCTCCGCATAAGTGCTTTCAATTTGGGTGAATAATAACATTGACAAACATTTTCTTGATTACTTCACCCATTAGCACTTGAAAATTGCTAAAACCAAACTTTAATCAGTCTTAAAACAGAAATGAGACATGTTAGATAGTTTGTTATGCACTTTCCCACGTAGAAAGACTTTCAGAATTTCAGCAGTTTAATTCATCTTTAGAGTTTAAATGTACAAATTCAGCAGTGAAAATGATTATGAAATCCTAGTCAAACAGAATAACATTTGCAGGCATTCGTTTTTTTCGAGTATGGAGCTGAATTGAAGAAAAGGGTTACTGTGATCACTTACGGGCTGTATCCCTGATCATAATCCAAAGAGTTTATAGTTGTTGCCACTCCGGTGCGCCATTAGCATCCTGCGAGACCATGCTTTCAACAGAAAACACTAGCAACCCTTGTGTAAATAGACCACAAGAGACTCAAGGCAATATGTATGTGCAACGGAAAAATGGTTAACTATCCATTTGAGGACATAAATGGCCTGCAGCTGTGATTCGAGCTAAAACACATAATTGGGTGGAGGAAGGGAGAATATCAATTTGGCAGTGGCAGGCATGATAAAGTAACATAACTTCTGCACAATTTAAGATAAACTAAAGCTGCAAGCAAGAGCACCATCTTCTTGCTATGGTATGGCCATCTGTCAATTAATATATATATAGGAGAAGAAAAGATAATAAATATAGGAGAAAAACATTACTAATAAACAACCTAAGTAAATTAGCATGTATCACATGCTAAAAATCGGGAATATAAATGAAAGAAAAATGTAAAAATTCTAAAGCTAGTGATAAATAAAAATCAAACCATTGGAGTAAAGTAATAGAAAGATACAAGGAATTGCAAATGCTTATCACAAGCAGAAAAAATGATTTATCATGTGATTGGAGAAAATGTAGAAAAGTCAAATGATAGGTTGATTGGTTAAAATTATCAAAAAAAAAAAAAGTCATGCTTAATAGTTAATATTAATGTGTAAATAGTAAGGAAATAATGTATTTATCTGGAACACTAATTTAAAATAAAAAAGTAAAAAAGCAATGATTCGATTATTACCAAAAAAAAAAAAAAAAGAAACCAAGACATAGACATTAATAATGGTCACGTACTAGCAAGAAAGGACATCCAGTTGTTCACTCGTTGAAGTTATCCTTGGCGTAAGTGGAGAATTACTATTGATTCTCTTTAACTAAGAAAAGAAAGAATGCCCCCTTGGCATTATTAAATCCTTCTAACTCAGAAACTTACCAAATAGAGAACTGAACAATGTTGGTAAAATATTGATACAAAAGAATTAAATATAAGACCGACATTGAAACCAAACACAATAAAAATAATTTATTCATGCACAAAATAATAATTAGTTCCAAATAAATCTTAACTCGTGTTTTGATTTTGATCACTCTAAATAATGGTGAAAATAATATCTTATGAGAGCTGTTGATATATAAGGGAATATATTAATATTTGATTAATCTTAAAAAATGGTAAAGAAAATAATTTAATAAGAAAAAACCATCAAAGAAAAATAATTGAAAAGATATCCAAATAAGCGCCATATGAATGTGATTGTAAAAAATGGGTAATTGATTTCAAATTGTCTAATTATAATGACATAGAATCTATTTTTGCCTTAATCTCTTAAATTGGAGAAGGCATGAATTGTATTAGAATGCAATTGATTTGTAATTGACTAATCGTAATGAAAATATGTATAGAGTTGGTCCAATTTTGTAAATTAGAGAGTGAACAATCTAAATTTTGGTAAGAATGGATTATAAAATAAGAGACAAATAAGTACAGTATCTCTATTTTTAAGGAAACAATACATAAATCCACTTAAAAAGAGAAATTAATGGATAGAGGAATTCTTTATTTTCTCAAATAATTTCAAATTGAATAAAAAACTTATTTTGGAGGCAATTTTGGTAATAATAATAAAAAAATGAAGCTAAACATTAGGAATAGACACATGATTGGACAAAATTAAAAGAGGAAAGCTATGGGTTGGTGATAAAAAAAAAAAAAGAAAAAGTAAAACAGAATTAGTAAGGACATATATAAAGTAAGAAATTAATAGATTAATTAAATTTTATTATAGATAAGCAAGTGAAAAATGAATGGAAATAAAAGAAAAAAAATCACCAAGAAACACAAAACATTAAATTTGTCCAATTGCTGACAAGAAAGGGTGCCTACTTCGCATAATCTAATAGCAATATTGCATCCAACTCAATAACATATTCCATAACATATTCAACCTAATAGCATCCAACACATACCACGTATATGTTGTGTCTGTGTGGGTACGATATAACAGTACTGAAAACTATTCCATTACTAAAATTATTTATGCACAACATATTCTTAGCCGAATGACAATGGAAGCAGGTGCCCGCAATAAAAAATGGGGCTAGGAGTAGGAATATGGGGAAATTTTCTCTCCCCCTTCCCTCCCCCCTCCCCGGCAGCTAAATAGGGGTAGGAGGCGGGGGAGCATACTCCACTCCATCCCTAACCCCATCTCTCATGTCAATTAAATTAAATTAAATTACACACACATATATATATGTACATGTGTGTGCATGTGTGTGTATATATATATATATATGTATGTATGTACATAACCCAAATAACTAATAGTTATACATAACTAATAATCTAGCTGTAGTAGCAGTTGTGATTGTTGTACCACACTTGCTATTCATCGATTGCTATTACACCACTGTTTTTTATTACTTATAAGCTGCTATGTTTGGATTGTAGTTTTCTAATAAAAAATTTTATATTTATCATGAACATATTTTCTAATTACTTTTTTTACTCGTATATATCGCATTGATACGGCACATTCTATTATGAAAGAAAAAAAAAATCCAAACGGGAGGATTTGCTAAAGCAACTTAGGTAGTGACCTCTCGGTATAGTCTTCCATGGGCCTACTTGTTTCCGTGTTCAGATATCTATCCGTATTGACTCGTTTTGAGTACACCAAGAAGGAACTGGAAGTTGATAGATTTCAGACTTGTTGGAGAGTACTTGGATATGCATACCTGTTCTCCGCGTTCAAAAGTGCACCTGATCTGTAGCTTGTGTTGTTATCTTCCCAAAAAAAAAAAAAAACGCAACTCGATGCTCGTTCAGCTGAATATCGTGGACGATTCGTGGTGTTTTCCTTCCCAGCAGGCGCTTGTGGGGAAAGCAGGACAGGGGTGGGGCGGAAGGGAAGGGGGAAGTGGGGGTGAGACGGGGGAGAAGAGTTATTTGACAACGGAGCAGGAGACTCGTCCCAAAACTGCCCTGTTGCCATCCATAAATCCATCATATGACATGATTTTAGAATAAGAATGTGCAAAAGGGGATGTTATTCTTCGAAATTATAATTTCCTTTTCCAAATATTCTTCATTCACTGTCTCAGCTCTATGAGAAGGGAAGTAATGTGCATACATCCCCTGGAAAAAGAAGCAAAATCAAAGATAAATCGCATGACATGAATTTTTGTCCAGAAACAGAATTAATTTAAAAAAATTGCTACGTTTTTCGTGAACATATTTTTTAATTACCTTTTTATTTCACATATATCAAATCGTTACAATAATTTTCTTACAAAAAATCTTAGAAAAATGCAATCCAAACACAACTTCGTTCGATTTCTGGGCAAAAATTCATGTCTGATGATAAGCTGGATCACTTTTCCGGAGATTGCACAATAATGTTTTTGTTATTTTGTACTTGCAATTGAACGTCAAAACAAAAATACATTTATTTTGTGTTATACACTGAAGAGTTACAACATGTACGGTTGTAAAAGCTTGCTTTTGTACTTTGCGAATTGGAGTGTCCTAGCTTTAGAAGGTACAAATATCAATTAAAAAAAAAAAAGACGTAAATCCAACCACAAGTATTGATGGTTCATGCAATACATTCTCATCCAAACTTGCATTCTTACCTAGATGTTTCCGAAAAATTTTGCCAGAGAATGCACGGGCATTTGTCTGATTCTGATTCGATGATAGTTTAATTCCTTTCAAATTTTTATTGATTTTTTTGAATCCATTTCTTACTGTAAAGTAAGAATAAGGGTAAAGAAAGACTTGTGTTTGGATTGTATTTTTCATGAAAAAATTATTATAGCGTTTTGATGTATGTAAGAAAAAAAGATAATAGAGAAATGTGATTACGAAAAATGACGTAATTTTTCGACGAAAACAGCAATCCAAACAAGCCTAAATCTTGTCAAGAAGAAAAAAAAAAATTGATGGCTCGTGCAATCCAGTAAATTCGAAGATCTTTACAGCTAAGAATTGTTCGACCAGAAGGTCCCAGCTTTCCGTATCAAATCGCGTTTTGACTTTTAAACTTGTGTCCCTGTTTAAATTTTAGAGCGAAGGATCAAAAATTCAAATCTAATTGGAGGGTTGAAAGATTCACAGGACAACAAAATGCATCCTCGAAAGGACCACAAATTTAGAGTTTTTTTTTTTTTTTTTTGAGGTGTCCGGTGATAACCCGCTTAATTAACCTCCCATTTTTTCGATTTTAAGTCATTGTGCCAAGTTTGTCCTTTGAAGTACATCCAAGCTGAGGACGTCATCTTTTCACTTGAAGTGACCAAAACATCCTTGAATCCGCTTAGAAAATCCAAGGAGCTTATTCCTGACCTGCCATTTAAAGCAATAATTTTTGTACTTTTATTATATCATATGACAAATTTATGCTCTTACGCAAACACAGCAGTGTAATACAATGACAATTTTGGACATATTTTTGGGAGTTTTGACAATTCACTGATATTATTGTGACATTAAAATTATTGTTATGATAATATATTTTTTTGAAAAAAATTTAACCCATAAAATGAATTGTACAGGCTCTATGGATGTAGGCATTATATGTGAAAAAGTGTATTTTCTCATCAATGACCTGGTTGGAAAAATTCATAGATTATAGAGGCGTGAAGTAGAGCCTTGACAATTAGAAAATGGTTAGGAAAAATTTAAGAGTTTGTCTTATTAGTGGCTAGCCTCCATGTCACTTTTTCTTTAGAAAATGATAATTATAATTAGCGTGTCAATATAGGGAAATGAATTCATAGACTAAGGTCTTTGACCATAAAAAAGATTAAATGTGAACGACAAAAAATGAAATTCATAGGGGGTAGTGATTATTGTACTAGTACTCAATCGAAATGATTTCAATTTTGACATTTTTGAAATGATGGAATATGCTATAAATGTATTATAATGTATCAAAAGTAATTCATATGATTTTATTGAGAATATAAATTTTAAGTAATGTTCACAATAACATACATTACCAATTATAGATTATACGACATGATTTGAGTCTTTTTTTATGCATATTTCTATTTGTGGCCATGTCCTATGGGATGGGGTGGCCGTTGTTCTTTCTTGAGCATCTTTTTAGAGAATATCCACCTTCGTTCATCACTTAATGTATTATTCCACATAGGGCATCAACAAATTTAATAGAAAGTCTTCAACTTGATATCTCACCAACCTTTAATCCTTTGCCATATATAGTCCTCTCGCTTCGATGACTCATCACCAACTCGAAAAGTACTGGCTGTGTTAGGATAGGA